CTCAGCTACCCATCACACTAATGTTTTTGTCCATTTCATAAAGCAACAAATCAAAATAAGGCCAGACATGACGCAGAACCCTGAACCCACTTGTCTTCAAGATAATCCATTTCATAAAAATCAACAATCAAACCACTTTAATCTCTTTCCATCAACACTAAAAGAAGTATAATCATTAAAACTATAAGCAGAATTATGCATCAGTCCATCAAAAATATCAGCTGAATCCCAGACATCTGTGAGTTTACTAACGTGACCTGGTTTCAGTCAAATAAATCCGTCGTTTGAGAGCACGATGACTAACGGTGACGTAGCACAACGGGAGTGTGTTGGACCAGTTGGAGCAGCACTAATGCAGAAGCACTCACTTGTCAGTCATGGCTACTTGTTCCAACATGGCAGATCCGGTGTTGCTTTTCCAATTACCAGAGATGGATGTTCGCCTGCAGAACAAGAGGAAATGGTGCATTCAATTAGTGAAGACAAAGCTTTCACGTTGAGACTTTTCAGTACAGTTAATTTACGCCAAACTGTGGTTTGATGAAATTCTAACAAGAGGCTTGGGGTTCCAAAAAAAAAAAAAAAAAGCTGAGGTAGTCAATAAGCATGGCTGCAGGTCAGTGGATTGATGCAATTTAATATGTTATCTTGTGTCCTATTAAAGGTAATAGAGATTTAACCTTAAAATGTGGGAAATTTAGCAGGTTTAAAATTTATTGTTGCTAAATTGCTTTCTTAAAGATCATTAGGCCTCTTCACCACATGTCACAGCGGTTACAAGTCTTCCTCAGAACTCCTTAATAAACACAAGCACACACTTACATGTAAGCTTTATAGTCTGTGCCAATTTTCTGGACCCTTATGTCATATTTGGCATCTACAAATGGCTCTGTGGTACAGTAAGCCTGAGTGATGGCCACAACGCTGGCAATATCCTGGAAGTCGCTCACATTATCCACCTTGACCTAAAAATAAAATCAACAAATAGGGAAAAGTGGTTTATTTTCAAAGTAATTACAGCATTTCATGCTTTTTAAAGTAGAAACAGGTTCTGAATGAGTGATATTTTAAAGCCTTGAGGTCTGACTTTGTCTAAATATTTACATACATGTGTATAAATTTGCATGTCCAAGAGAATGTTCACTTATTCTGCATTCAAACAAATTAGGTAAATACTTCACAAGCAATTTGATACAGGAACTAAATCAAACAGAATAGGTTTTGGGAGCACAAATATGCTTTAATATGATTAGTAGGCTTACACAGCAGTTTGCTCTGTTTATTTGTCCTCTTTCTTTACATTAATAGCTTTGGATTGTTTTAGCAATTTGAGTCTTGGCTTCTTTCACATTAACGAACAGACACATGCACTCACTCGTTCATCAGTTTTGACTTCAGGTGCAGTAAATATTAAAATCACTGATGAAAGTTGCTCATAAATCTGGCAGTTTATTTAACAAAAGACACATTGTTGCACTAAGAAGGAATCAGCATTCCCGTATACCTTTCCCATTCCAGAGTGGGCGTGCCCAATCTTCACCACAACAGGGAAACTTGGCGTTGTAATCTGTTCAACAAAAGAATAAGTATAGGATGACAAATACTGAGTAACACAGAATGACAATGTAAGAAAACAGTAGAAAAAAGTCTGCAGAGAAAAGTGAGTGGTTGTTTTAGCAGCAGTGTTTGTGAATGGCTCGATTTGAGGGAGTGGAGGTTAAATCCTACATTTCCAGTCTTGTAGTCTTTAAAATCCATCCATCCATTAGTTTTTACCCGTCCATCCATCCATCCATTATCTTTACCCGCTTATTCCATTTTGGGTCACGGGGGTCACTGGCGCCCATGTACAGCAATCACTGTGCGAGGGGTAAGGTACATCCTGGACAGGTCGCAAGTCCATCACAGGGACACATAGAGACAAACGAGACAAACAACCATTCACTCTCTCACTCACATCTAGAGACAATTTAGAGTTACCAATCAGCCTAACATGCATGTTTTTGGTATGTGGGAGGAAACCGGAGTTCCAGGAGAAAACCCACGCATGCACAAAGAGAACATGCAAACTCCACCCAGAAAGGCCCCCGGCCGGGATTTGAACAAGGGACCTGCTCGCTGAGAGGCAGCAGCTCTACCAGTTGCTCCACCGTGTCGCCCGTCTTTAAAATCTACAACTTTAGTCAAGTCAGATTTATTTATAGAGCACATTTAAAACAGAAACTGTTACCAAATTACTTAAATTTAATTTAATTTAATTTAATTCATTTATCCATTCATTTAAAATAAACAAAATAAACTAAACAAATTAATCAAAAAGAAAAAGAACACTGAATGAAAAGGGTGCAGAAAAAAGAAAACATTCCTATAATATCTGCCCCTTCTTTAAAAAAAAATAGAAAATAACTTTAAACAAACAACTTAGGCTTGAACAATCTCCAAAGTGAAAACAAAAATATGCATTCTTCACATGGTATCATACTTTCCTAACAATTTTAACTTAATCATCTTTTTAAACATATACATTGTTTTAGAAATTGTTATGGTGATATCAAGACAATTCCACAATCCTGTTCCCTGAATTACAAAGCAGCTTCTTCACACTAGTTCTCAATGGAGGTTTTGCAAACATTTCCATTCCCTTAAGGTTATAATGACTCTCTTTTTTTAACAAATTTTAATTGAATATTTGGGGGTAATATTTTTTATGAACTTTATACATGACTTGTAAGATACTATATTCAACCAAATCATAAAATTGTAATTATTTCAACTGATGAAATAATATATTTGTTGGGTGACCATAGCACATCCTACTAATCATTCTTATAGCTCTTTTTTGTAAAATGAAAATAGGGTTTGTAATTGTTTTGCATGCCTTTCCGCAAACATTACTACAATAGATTAAATATGGAACAATCATAGCATTATACAATATATACAAAACTTTGTCATTCAAAAACTCTTTTACTTTATAAAGCAATGCAGTTGATTTTGCTATTTTTATTCTTAAGTAATTTACATGAGAGTTCCATGTCAGCTTCTCGTCAATAACAACACCCAAATTTTGTATTTCATTAACTCTATGAATTTCAATACTGTCAATTTTAAATGGGACTTTGATCATTTTCTTTCTATTCCTAAATATCATCTAGATTGTTCGTTCCAAATTTAATGATAACTTATTAAGTTGGAACCAAGTTTGAATTTTTACGAATTCTGCCTGTATCATCCCTAACATCCGTTCAATATCTTCACCTGAACAAAAAAATGTGGTATCATCTAAAAATAAAACAAGTGTGAGCCCTGACACATCAATCAGATCATTCACATACAAAATAAACAACTTTGGTCCCAACACAGAGCCCTGAGGCACTCCACATCAATTCACACAAAAGTAAGATCTTACATCATTTATCTGTACAGTCTCCTATTATTCAAATAACTGGATACCCACTCTAGCGCTAATCCTCTTACGCCATATTTATTCAGTTTTTCAAGAATGGTGTGGTCAATGTCGAAGTCCTTTTTTTAAATCAACAAAAACGCTAACACAATACTGTTTTGATCAACAGCAGATTTTATCTCTTGTATTAGTTCAATAATTAACAAATAAAACATAAGCAAGAAAAGAAAATAGATAGAGTTGCATTAATATCAGATAGTAGCACCCAACAAACTCTAATGGAAGACCTGCGTAATGTCATCAATAAAATTTGATCAAGGGTCGAACTTGTTCTACTCAATCAGAAGCAGCTTTCATAAATAGATAAGATTTTTCCACATTTTTAAAGCTAATATAGACAATGTTATACTTTTTACTGTTATGATTTAAGCCTTTTGGTTGAGAGTTCACCGGCGAATCACGGTACAGAAACTGTAGATATGTTTCAAGTTAACACTTCTCTCTGTGACTCATGCTTTCACTGCAAAACACACTCAGAGAACACTTGAAAATCCAACATTTTTCAGTCAGGTCATCTGGACAGCTTCTTTTTTTGTGCTGAAACGTTTCATCTTCGATCCAGAAGGCTTCATCAGTCAAGAAAACACACAACAAAACTGATTCTTCCTCCAACCGCTTACTCCAGACTTTGTTGTTTTCAACCAGTTTGACAAGACTGTCAACAAGGAAGAGGGCCGGCAATGGAGGAGGGGGAGTACCAAAGAGACCATCTAATCACAAGCAGAACTGGTTTGTTCCACTTTGGAGTAAGCGGTTGGAGGAAGAATCAGTTTTGTTGTGTGTTTCCTTGACTGATGAAGCCTTCTGGATCTAAGGCAAAACGTTTCAGCACAAAAAATGAAACTGTTCAGATGACCTGAATGAAAAATGTTGGATTGTATACCTGGATTATTGAGCATGGACTTTAAAATTAAGCTTATATTGACAAGAAAAGTCATGAACAGGTTTTCTTGGCAGTGTCTGAGTCATGCTGAAACACATGATGTGATCAAACCGACTGATTGATTGAACATATTTCAATATATTTTGAAGACAAATTGGAGAGCATCCACAAATGACTCGTGGGCCTTGTGTTGAGGATTACTGGTCTACATTGAAATCTTTCCTAGCCCTAGATTATGATAAGCAAAAATACAGACACAAGGTGCGGTGAATTTGACCAGTTTTGGATGAGATACCAAGTTAATATAAAATCTGTCATGTTGATTTAAGAAATGAATTCATGCTCAGTGAAAAAATCGAATCTTAAGATAATTTGACAGGTGCTTGTTGAGCAAACAAGGAAGCACTTCAAAATACTTGATTTTTTGTATAAACTCGAACACTAAAGTTAGTCCCAAACAAACATTCAAAACCAAAATAACTGGTATTTCTGTAAAAGTGATCTTAACCAGTATGAGATTTATTGCTGAAGTGATGAAGGGCTTCAAACGACGGCAAAGGAAGTCAGTGAGGAGGCCAGATTTTTCCCCAACATTTTAGGAGGCTGTCCCTAAATTGTTGAGCACATAAGAGGCTCCCTGTGTGCGACCCTCTCAGCATTCAAGGCCAGAGTGAGAGGGGATCTAACTATTGTAAGTCGCTCTGTGTGTTGTCTACAGAGAGGGGGAGACAGAAAGAAAAGAGGAGAGCAGCAGCGGGAGCAGCAGCAGCCTTCAACTCAAGTTATTTGCTGAAGCTTGAATCTAGAGTTGTACTTTAAACTTATGAAAACATTTCTATCCACAGTCGCCTCTCAGCTCTGCAGAGCTCGTCTTTCCGCGTCGACCCTGCTGTCTCATCTGCCCCACGCCCCCTCGGCTGACAGTCGACCTGAGCGGCCTTCCTTTCAACTTAACAGGACAAGAAAAGGCTGCAGAGCGTTCATCAAGTGGCGAGGCAGTCCGAGGTAGCCTGAGCCATCATGGCCGTGTCCCAGGAGCCGAGTGTGCATCTGGGGCTGTGGATGCTCCTTTTGCTTGGAGCAGGCATGGAAGAAGCTGTGGAGGGATGCAGCTGCCACCCAGCACACCCGCAGCAGCTCTTCTGCAGTGCTGAGCTTGGTGAGTTATTGTCCAGAGACTTGTCAGTTTTGATTAACACACGTCATTCATAATATTAAACTGGTGAAAAGTAATAAAAGCTGCAGGTCTGAAAGCAAGCATCAAAGTTTAGAGCGTGCATGCTCCTGCATACAAATTGATTGTTTTAAAGAGGAAGGCATTTGCTTCTGTCTTTGTTGATTAACTAATCGTTTCTCGTATTGATTGACTTAATTTGATCGGCGGAGGGCTAAAGGCGAAATCCATAAAGTAAACCAAGTCTGACAAGAACTAACCAACTGAGCCGAATCATTCAGACAGCATCAATGTTTACTGTGGTGGGTTGTTTCTCCACTCCAGTTGAGGCTGATTTATGAAATATAACCATGACAGTGACTTTACTGTAGACTAACATCTTTATGGAATCCAATATAATGTTTTTTTTCATTTTCTTCCTCTCAGTGGCAAAAAACAACCCTTAATCAGTCATAAACATGGCCTACTTTCTATCTGTCTGTCTCTCTGTCCAGTCCGCCCATCTCCACCATCTTTTTTCTTCTTTTTTGTCTAAGTACAAGCCAAAACCAACACTCTGCTTTGACTCTGAGTACTTGGCTCTGGACTGTAGAAAGCTGGAGTATGTGCTTCTGTCAAAGGTTACACTCCAGCAGGGGTGCAAGGGGAAGAGAAAGAGGAAAGAAGAAATGGCTTTTTCTCAGTCGTGTTTTAGGTTAGAGGCTAAGCTCTTTTGAAAGTGCTTTTAAAATGTGTCTTGTCTGTGTGAAATGGAGTACAAGACCTGTTTTTATAAGCACTAGGGCTAAAATCTGGGTTAATGGGGAGCAATGAGGGCCTGTGGGACAGTGTTGTCATGACAACATTTTACACATGAGATCTTTGTACAAACAAATAAAATGTGCCGGTTCAAACTGAGATGAGGCTCCCGCAAATGGACATGTTTTTACGTAGGTCTGTTTGCAAAGACGGGAGAATCTAAATGATCTGAACTCAGTTGTTAAAGCTGTCAGGCCTTCAGTCAGTGGTTTGAGGTAAACTTGAATATCGACTGTCCCATCTGGTTGTGTAACATTTTACCAGTGATAAAGCAGGCTGCTTAAATGGCACCACAGATTTTTATAGTATTGTTATTCTTGAGTAATTGGGTCAACATTGTAAAACAAACAAAAATATTTTATTTAACAACCTTACAAAGCAGTAAGGCTCATTAGTAAATGACTTATCCAAGCATGGATCATTTTAAACCACTAGAACTATTTTAAAGTTTGTTCGTGTCAGTCTATCTTGTCAAACTATAATGTGATGTAATAACATTTTATGCTGAATAAAGTCAAATCGGTTTTCCAAATGACACACAATAGACTCAGTCACAACAATACAGATGTACTTTAAAGCATCAGAATATTCAAATTTCAAATCAGCATATGCTGCTTTCAGTTGTCCAATATCTTGACCATAGTGTGGATGCACAGCTAAACTACAAATAATTTGGACTTCAACAAACATGAACATGAAAAATCACCCAAGTAAATAAAAAAAAGCTGTTTGAGAACATAGTATAGTAGTCACTCGTTTATCGTAGGGGATCCGTACCCTGAAGCCCCACGATAAGTGAAAAACTAAGAAGTAGGAATAGTAGTACAAGTAGTAGTTTACTTTAGTATATATATGTACTCCGGTTTCCTCTCACAGACCAAAAACATGCATGTTAGACTGATTGGTAACTCTAAATTGTCCCTAGGTGTGAGTGAGAGAGTGAATGGTTGTTTGTCTCGTTTGTCTCCATGATGGACTTGTGACCTGTCCAGGGTGTACCCCGCCCCTTGCACAGTGATTGCTGGACATGGGCACCGGCGACCCCCGTAACCCAAAATGGAATAAGCGGGTAAAGATAATGGATGGATGGATGG